CAGAAAATTTTAATTACCCTTTCGCTCAAAATTATAAACAAAGAGAAATATATGAGATTTTTACTATTAATCCTGAAGTCCTTGCGCGAGTCGGTAGTTCAACTGTCAGAATAGCTCTTTGTCAAAGAGTTGACCTGGGTACGACTGCCGGTCAACACAATTGCATAACTTTTATTTCAACCCAATGATCTGCAAGATAAGAAGCGAAAATAATTATTGCTCCTTCTCGCGTTAAAACTCAAAAGAAGAGAAATATGAGATTTTTACAATCAATTCTTAAACAATTTCGTTTTGCGGTAGTTCTACGGTCAGAATCGCTGTTTCCCAATCAGATGATCCGGGTTCGTCTCCCGGCCGACGCAATGGGGAACTTCAGCATTTTTTTTTTATTTTTTAAATCGATTTAAAATGCTTCAAAACGAACAATAACATTAAAAAAAATTTCTAGACAGTTTTGTTTTTTTTAAATTTGCAATCAAAGTTCGACTCTCAGAAAACGCGGGAAAAACGATCCATTTTGGCGGGAAACGGGTCTGACGTCAAAATTGCCAGACGGGGGAGAAACACTCTTCCTTCCCGTTCGCGCTCTATAGAGATTCTCTTTTTTTCTATACTTTCCGACTATCGCATCAGATAAAATAATGTCGGAAAGATACAAGTATTGTATTGTTCTTAAATGTCGTAATACAACTGTAACGGCACCCGATAAATTATTTATCAATGTGCCAAAAAATTATGTTATTAGCAAAAAGTGGTGTAAAGCGATGAAGAGAGATCCGAGGCTAAATCCGGAATTATCAGCAAGCAGCGTTCGTCATGTCTGTGGAGATAATTTTGATGCGAGTTATTAATCTATATTATACCTATTAAAATTGTATATCATGAAGCACAGTAAATTCAGAATTCGATATCTTTTTTGTTTTTAAAAGAAGTATAAGGTAAGGGTAGCAGCAAAAAATTAAGATATTTTAAAGCAAATAGTTAAAGTTAATTAGTTTTTTCCCATTTGATTACATGGAATTTATTTTTTTACCCTTTGAGAGTCATTGCCCCTCAAAGGCTAAAAATATAGAAGATCCCACCTTCTTTAAAAATCTTTTTTTTTTAAAAAAAAAATTGCTCATGTTAATTTATAGCATAAATTTTTTCAATGGATATTCGAATGTTTCTTATATTTTTTTAAAAATTAGCAGTACTATTGAAAATCAACAAGAATATCTTAAAAATTAGTTTAAATTCGCGACTTTTTTTATAATAAAATTCGTTTTCATTTGTAGTTCAACAAAATAATTCGCAGAATTAACTTTTGATTCAAAATAAATTCTTTATATTCAATGAATGCATTAAAATCAAAATTAGTCTTCAAAAGTTAGTTTGCTCATCAATTATTATAGTTGAGAGAAGGTGGGATAAATTTATCTCATCGTGCATCTCGAGTTTGTTGATGGCAGCACTTAAATTCCTAGATCAGTCGCATTTGGTCTGGTTTGAATATTGTTATAAATTTATATAGTTTTTTTTATATAATTCAAAAATTAACTAACATGAAGAAAAAAACTTACTTTACAGTAAAGAAGGCTTACTACTTACAGATACTTTGTTCGTATCTTTTCTTTTTTTTTTTGCAATTTACGAAAGTTGTTACAGTTTTATCATTTTTAATTTTTTAGTGTATTTCTTTATATAAGTTATTTTTACCAGATTTTATATTAATTAGTATAAACTAGTATTTTAAAATTAATAATAGTACAAAGGAAATAATTTAATAGTAAAATAAAGCGTAGTAAAATAAAACTATATAAAATGAAATTAATTTTTAAAAGGCATAGGTGTGTTTTTTAAAAAATGCCGTACCTGAAATTATTTTGAACGGAACTTCTGAAATAAATAAATTCCTGTTTTTTTTTTTTTTTGTAGGCATACGAAATTTAATACATCATGCAAAATCTTTCCGTTCTTGCTTGTGCAACAGAAATCGCAGCGTCTTCTCGGAATGCCAGAGGGCCCCTCTGCAATTTATTGTTGCTTGATGGTTTCGAAAACCTATCCGTTTTTCTAAGGCAAATCCTTTTCTGTATAATATAGAGTCCTGTTCCGGTAACTGAAGGGAAGGTCAAAACAACTTTTCTTATGAGATAATTTACGAGCCGGCGTTTTGTGTCCAGTTTCTTTGTCGGAACTGAATAATTCCAGACACATGTACTGACAAAACATTTGTATTCCTTCCCTTGTAATAAAATAAGTAAGCGATCAGGATTTTACTGATAGAAGGTGAGTAGCTTGCTTTGTTCCGAAGCTTTCAAAGAGATCCATAAAAATACTACAGAATAGTATGTCACATTTGAGTGCTGATTGTTGGAAAATCTTTTGCATTCAGAGAGATACACATTCTTTCAAGGCATTTTCAAATAACGGGCTGACGATACGATTCGCGGAAGAGTCTCAAATTATCCGATTTAGCTTGTACAAAACCAATATCCATTGTAAAATTGAACGCTGTATAGTAGAAAAGCTAAAAACTTCACTTTTAAAATGTTAGCTGGTACAAACGCCTTGATTCAAAGCAGAATACAGAACTAGCGAAAGAGAAGTATGCGAAGGAAGGCACCCTTTACGTCAGATTCTACTCGACCAATGAGAGTGCGTTTCGGATTGCATCATGATTCCTGCTATTTCAGTGCATCTTTCGCTCTCAATATTTAAATAAATAAATTTTTTTGTAAAATTTCACTTGCATATTTGAAATTAGAATGATTTTTTATACAAATACAGATGACTTTCATGTGTTTTTAAAAAATGCTGAAGTTCCCCATTGCAGGACTTTTATATCAACCGAATGGTCTGCAAGATAGGAAGCGAAAATTTTTATTGCACCTTCTCGCGATAACATATAAAACAAAAGAAGAGAAATACGAGATTTTTACTATCAATTCTGAAGGATTTGCGCGCCGGTAATGCAACAGTCAGAATAGCTGTTTCACAAACAGCTGACCGGGTTCGACTCCCTGCCGACGGAATTGCATAACTTTTATTTCAACCCAATGGTCTACAAGAAAAGAAGCGAAAATTTTAATTGCTCCTTCTCGCGTAAAATTATAAACCAAAATAACAGAAATATGAGATTTTTGCAAACAAATCTGAAATCCCTTTGCGCGTCGGTAGTTCAACGGTCAGAAAAGCTGTTTCCCAAACAGTTGACCCAGGTTCGACTCCCGGCCGACGCAATTGCATAACTTTTATTTCAACCCAATGGTCTACAAGATAGGAAGCGAAAATTTTTATTGCACCTTCTCGCGATAACATATAAAACAAAAGATGAGAAATATATACGAGATTTTTATTATCAATTCTGAAGGATTTACGCGCCGGTAATTCAACGGTCCGAAAAGCTGTTTCACAAACACCTGACCCGGGTTCGACTCCCCGCTGACGAAATGGCATGACTTTTATTTCAACCCAATGGTCTACAAAATAAGAATAGAAAAGTTTAATTCCTATTTCTCGCGATAAAATATTAAAGTAAAGAAGCGAAATATGAGAATTTTACTATCAATTCTGAAGTTCTTTCGCGCGTCGGTAGTTCAACGGTCAGAATAGCTGTTTCCCAAACAGTTGACCCGGGTTCGACTCCCGGCCGACGCAATGGCATAACTTTTATTTCAATCCAATGGTCTGCAAGATAGGAAGCGAAAATTTAATTGCTCCTTCTCGCGTAAAATTATAAACAAAATAACAGAAATATGAGATTTTTGCAATCAATTCTGAAGTGCCTTCGCGCGTCGGTAGTTCAACGGTCAGAATAGCTGTTTCCGAAACAGTTGACCCAGGTTCGACTCCCGGCCGACGCAATTTCATAACTTGTATTTCAATCCAATGGTCTGCAAGATAGGAAGCGAAAATTTTAATTGCTCCTTCTCGCGTGAAATTATAAAACAAAATAAGAGAAATATGAGATTTTTACAATCAATTCTGAAGTCCCTTAGCGCGTCGGTAATTCCACGGTCAGAATAGCTGTTTCCCAAATAGTTGTAATGGGTTCGACTCTCGGGCGACGGAATTGTATAACTTTTATTTCAACCCAATGATCTGCAAGATAAGAAGCGAAAATAATTATTGCTCTTTCTCGCGATAACATATAAAACAAAAGAAGAGAAATATATACGAGATTTTTATTATCAATTCTGAAGGATTTGCGCGCCGGTAATTCAATGGTCAGAAAAGCTGTTTCACAAACAGCTGACCCGGGTTCGACACCCCGCCGACGGAATTGTATAACTTTTATTTCAACCCAATGGTCTACAAGATATGAATAGAAAATTTTAATTACTCCTTCTCGCGATAAAATATTAAAGTAAAGAAGCGAAATATGAGATTTTTACTATCAATTCTGAAGTGCTTTTGCGCGTCGGCGTCGGTAGTTCAACGGTCAGGAATAGCTTTTCACAAACAGCTGACCTGGTTCGACTCCCGCGACGGAATTGATAACTTATTTCAACCCAATGGTCTACAAGATATAGAAAAAAATTTTAATTGCTCCTTCTCGCGATAAAATATTAAAGTAAAGAAGCGAAATATGAGAATTACTATACCTGAAGTTCTTTCGTCGGTAGTTCAACGGTCAGAACAGCTGTTTCTGAAACACTTGACGCAGGTTCCACTCCCGGCCGACGAAATTGCATAACTTTTATTTCAATCCTATGGTCTGCAAGATAGGAAGCGAAAATTTTAATTGCTCTTTCTCGCGTAAAATTATAAAACAATATAACAGAAATATGAGATTTTTGCAATCAAATCTGAAGTTCCTTCGCACGTCGGTAGTTCCACGGTCAGAATAGCTCTTTCCCAAACAGTTGACCTGGGTTCGACTCTGGGGTGACGGAATTGTATAACTTTTATTTCAACCCAATCATCTGCAAGATAGGAAGCGAAAATTTTTATTGCACCTTCTCGGGATAACATATAAAAAAAAAGAAGAGAAGTACGAGATTTTTACTATCAATTCTGAAGGATTTGCGCGCCGGTAATGTAACAGTCAGAATAGCTCTTTCCCAAACAATTGATCCGGGTTCGACTCCCGGCTGACGCAATTACTTGAATTTTATTTCAACCGAATGGTCAGCAAGATAGGAAGCGAAAATTTTAATTGCTCTTTCTCGCGATTAAATATTAAAGAAAAGAAGCGAAATATATATATATACGAGATTTTTATTATCAATTCTGAAAGATTTGCGCGCCGGTAATTCAACGGTCGGAATAGCTGTTTCACAAACAGCTGACCCGGGTTCGACTCCCCGCCGACGGAATTGCATAACTTTTATTTCAACCCAATGGACTACAAGATAAGAATAGAAAATTTTAATTGCTCCTTCTCCCGATAAAATATTAAAGTAAAGAAGCGAAATATGAGAATTTTACTATCAATTCTGAAGTTCTTTCTTGCGTCGGTAGTTCAATGGTCAGAATAGCTGATTCCCAAACTGTTGACCCGGGTTCGACTCCCGGCCGACGCAATTGCATAGCTTTTATTTCAACCCAATGGTATGGAAGATAGGAAGCGAAAATTTTAATTGCTCCTTCTCGCGTAAAATTATAAAACAAAATAACAGAAATATGAGATTTTTACAATCAATTCTGAAGTGCCTTCGCGCGTCGGTAGTTCAACGGTCAGAATAGCTGTTTCCCAAACAGTTGACCTGGGTTCGACTCTCGGCCGACGGAATTGTATAAATTTTATTTCAACCCAATGATCTGCAAGATAAGAAGTGAAAATAATTATTGCTCCTTCTCGCGTTAAAACTCAAAACAAGAGAAATATTAGATTTTTACAATCAATTCTCGAACTAATTCGAGTTGCGGTAGTAAAACGGTCAGAATCGCTGTTTCCCAAATATATGATCCGGGTTCGTCTCCCGGCCGACGCAATTGGAGGACTTTTATATCAACCCAACGGTGTGCAAGATAGGAAGCGAAAAATTTTATTGCACCTTCTCGCGATAACATATAAAACAAAAGAAGAGAAATATATACGAGATTTTTACTATCAATTCTGAAAGATTTGCGCGCCGGTAATTCAATAGTCAGAATAGCTGTTTCACAAACAGTTGACCCTGGTTCGACTCCCGGCCGACGCAATTGCATAACTTTTATATCAACCCAATGGTCTGCAATATACGAAGCGAAAATTTTTATTGCACCTTCTCGCGATAACATATAAAACAAAAGATGAGAAATATATATATACGAGATTTTTATTATTAATTCTGAAGGATTTACGCGCCGGTAATTCAACGGTCGGAATAGCTGTTTCACAAAGAGCTGACCCGGGTTCGACTCCCCGCCGACGGAATTGCATAACTTTTATTTCAAACCAATGGTCTACAAGATAAGAATAGAAAATTTTAATTGCTCCTTCTCCCGATAAAATATTAAAGTAAAGAAGCGAAATATGAGAATTTTACTATCAATTCTGAAGTGCCTTCGCGCGTCGGTAGTTCAACGGTCAGAATAGCTGTTTCCCAAACAGTTGACCTGGGTTCGACTCTCGGACGACGGAATTGTATAAATTTTATTTCAACCCAATGATCTGCAAGATAAGAAGTGAAAATAATTATTGCTCCTTCTCGGGTTAAAACTGAAAAGAAGAGAAATATGAGATTTTTACAATCAATTCTTAAACAATTTCGTGTTGCGGTAGTGAAACGGTCAGAATCGCTGTTTCCCAAATAGATGATCCGGGTTCGTCTCCCAGCCGACGCAATTGCAGGACTTTTATATCAACCCAACGGTCTGCAAGATAGGAAGCGAAAAATT